ACCTGCACAGCTCTCCACTTTGCATCGCAGCATGTTCTATTCATCTCAGTGTTTTGTCATATTTCATGTAATAATAATAATATAATATTGGGAGGGACGAAACCCTCTGTAATGGTCTCATATGCAGAGCACACAGTGACATGTGTTCTCTGCTTTTAACACATCTAGCACCAGGAGTCTAGCACCAGCAGTCTGGACCAGGAGTCCAGCACCAGGAGTCTAGCACCAGGAGTCTAGCACCAGGAGTCTAGAACCAGGAGTCTAGAACCAGGAGTCTAGCACCAGGAGTCCAGCACCAGGAGTCTAGAACCAGGAGTCTAGAACCAGGAGTCTAGAACCAGGAGTCTAGCACCAGGAGTCCAGCACCAGGAGTCTAGCACCAGGAGTCTAGAACCAGGAGTCTAGCACCAGGAGTCTAGCACCAGGAGTCTAGCACCAGGAGTCTGGACCAGGAGTCCAGCACCAGGAGTCTAGAACCAGAAGTCTAGAACCAGGAGTCTAGAACCAGGAGTCCAGAACCAGGAGTCTAGAACCAGGAGTCTAGAACCAGGAGTCTAGAACCAGGAGTCTAGCACCAGGAGTCCAGCACCAGGAGTCTAGAACCAGGAGTCTAGCACCAGGAGTCCAGCACCATTTTATTTAACAGCTTTATGATAAGAGAGGTCTGAGGGTTCTGAAGTCTTTCCTCAGCCAGGCCCTCTCTGGATCAGGGTCTGTGCCTCTGGCTCTGAGGATCAGGGTCTGTGCCTCTGGGTCTGAGGATCAGGGTCTGTGCCTCTGGCTCCGAGGATCAGGGTCTGTGCCTCTGGGTCCGAGGATCAGGGTCTGTGCCTCTGGCTCCGAGGATCAGGGTCTGTGCCTCTGGCTCCGAGGATCAGGGTCTGTGCCTCTGGCTCCGAGGATCAGGGTCTGTGCCTCTGGCTCCGAGGATCAGGGTCTGTGCCTCTGGCTCCGAGGATCAGGGTCTGTGCCTCTGGGTCTGAGGATCAGGGTCTGTGCCTCTGGCTCTGAGGATCAGGGTCTGTGCCTCTGGCTCTGAGGATCAGGGTCTGTGCCTCTGGGTCTGAGGATCAGGGTCTGTGCCTCTGGGTCTGAGGATCAGGGTCTGTGCCTCTGGGTCTGAGGATCAGGGTCTGTGCCTCTGGGTCTGAGGATCAGTGTCTGTGCCTCTGGCTCTGAGGATCAGGGTCTGTACCTCTGGGTCTGAGGATCAGGATCTGTGCCTCTGGGTCTGAGAATCAGGGTCTGTGCCTCTGGCTCTGAGGATCAGGGTCTGTGCCTCTGGCTCTGAGGATCAGGGTCTGTGCCTCTGGCTCTGAGGATCAGGGTCTGTGCCTCTGGCTCTGAGGATCAGGGTCTGTGCCTCTGGCTCTGAGGATCAGGGTCTGTACCTCTGGGTCTGAGGATCAGGGTCTGTGCCTCTGGGTCTGAGGATCAGGGTCTGTACCTCTGGGTCTGAGGATCAGGGTCTGTGCCTCTGGGTCTGAAGATCAGGGTCTGTGCCTCTGGGTCTGAGGATCAGGGTCTGTGCCTCTGGGTCTGAGGATCAGGGTCTGTGCCTCTGGCTCTGAGGATCAGGCTCTGAGGATCAGGGTCTGTGCCTCTGGCTCTGAGGATCAGGGTCTGTGCCTCTGGGTCTGAGGATCAGGGTCTGTGCCTCTGGGTCTGAGGATCAGGGTCTGTGCCTCTGGCTCTGAGGATCAGGGTCTGTGCCTCTGGCTCTGAGGATCAGGGTCTGTACCTCTGGGTCTGAGGATCAGGGTCTGTGCCTCTGGCTCTGAGGATCAGGGTCTGTGCCTCTGGCTCTGAGGATCAGGGTCTGTGCCTCTGGGTCTGAGGATCAGGGTCTGAGGATCAGGGTCTGTGCCTCTGGCTCTGAGGATCAGGGTCTGTGCCTCTGGCTCTGAGGATCAGGGTCTGTACCTCTGGGTCTGAGGATCAGGGTCTGTGCCTCTGGCTCTGAGGATCAGGGTCTGTGCCTCTGGCTCTGAGGATCAGGGTCTGTGCCTCTGGCTCTGAGGATCAGGGTCTGTGCCTCTGGCTCTGAGGATCAGGGTCTGTGCCTCTGGCTCTGAGGATCAGGGTCTGTGCCTCTGGGTCTGAGGATCAGGGTCTGAGGATCAGGGTCTGTGCCTCTGGCTCTGAGGATCAGGGTCTGTGCCTCTGGCTCTGAGGATCAGGGTCTGTGCCTCTGGCTCTGAGGATCAGGGTCTGTGCCTCTGGCTCTGAGGATCAGGGTCTGTACCTCTGGGTCTGAGGATCAGGGTCTGTGCCTCTGGCTCTGAGGATCAGGGTCTGTGCCTCTGGCTCTGAGGATCAGGGTCTGTGCCTCTGGCTCTGAGGATCAGGGTCTGTGCCTCTGGCTCTGAGGATCAGGGTCTGTGCCTCTGGCTCTGAGGATCAGACGAGGACAGAGTCTTTCTGAGGGATTGCTTTATCGATCGCAGGCAGACTTTGACTTTGCAGCGCGGTGATTTACGGCTGACTTCGCATACAGAGCAGCTAATCCTGACGTGTTGCTTTGGAGGAAGAGGATGACGAAGAGCAAAGAGGAAATGGATAGAATAATGAATGAGAGGCGGGGAGAGAAAGGGAGGAGGGGAAACACACAAGAGTAGAGAAAAGAGAGGACAGAAATGGTGCAGGAATCTATTTCTGTGTTGGTCCCTGAAGGCAGCATCTCCTGGACCAATGGGATTCCTCCATGTGATGTTGCATTAGGTCAGAAAATAATCACTGTTTCAAACAAACGTTTATGATTCTTACACTATTAGTTCAGCAGGATGATCTCCACATATCAACACCACTTCATGATTTCTGAAGTAAAAAGCTAATGTTGGGCTATAAAGGAACTACAGCACGGTCACATGACTTCACGTCACCACCGCTAAGCTAAAGGAGGCTAATGTTGGGCTATAAAGGAACTACAGCACGGTCACATGACTTCACGTCACCACCGCTAAGCTAAAGGAGGCTAATGTTGGGTTATAAAGGAACTACAGCTCGGTCACATGACTTCACGTCACCACCGCTAAGCTAAAGGAGGCTAATGTTGGGCTATAAAGGAACTACAGCACGGTCACATGACTTCACGTCACCATCGCTAAGCTAAAGGAGGCTAATGTTGGGCTATAAAGGAACTACAGCACGGTCACATGACTTCACCTCACCACCGCTAAGCTAAAGGAGGCTAATGTTGGGCTATAAAGGAACTACAGCACGGTCACATGACTTCACCTCACAACCGCTAAGCTAAAGGAGGCTAATGTTGGGCTATAAAGGAACTACAGCACGGTCACATGACTTCACGTCACCACCGCTCAGCTAAAGGAGGCTAATGTTGGGTTATAAAGGAACTACAGCTCGGTCACATGACTTCACGTCACCACCGCTAAGCTAAAGGAGGCTAATGTTGGGCTATAAAGGAACTACAGCACGGTCACATGACTTCACGTCACCATCGCTAAGCTAAAGGAGGCTAATGTTGGGCTATAAAGGAACTACAGCACGGTCACATGACTTCACCTCACCACCGCTAAGCTAAAGGAGGCTAATGTTGGGCTATAAAGGAACTACAGCACGGTCACGTGACTTCACGTCACCACCGCTAAGCTAAAGGTGGCTAATGTTGGGCTATAAAGGAACTATAGCACGGTCACATAACTTCACCTCACCACCGCTAAGCTAAAGGAGGCTAATGTTGGGCTATAAAGGAACTACAGCACGGTCACATGACTTCACGTCACCACCGCTAAGCTAAAGGTGGCTAATGTTGTGCTATAAAGGAACTACAGCTCGGTCACATGACTTCACGTCACCACCGCTAAGCTAAAGGAGGCTAATGTTGGGCTATAAAGGAACTACAGCACGGTCACATGACTTCACGTCACCACCGCTAAGCTAAAGGTGGCTAATGTTGTGCTATAAAGGAACTACAGCTCGGTCACATGACTTCACGTCACCACCGCTAAGCTAAAGGTCGCTAATGTTGGGCTATAAAGGAACTACAACACGGTCACATGACTTCACGTCACCACCGCTAAGCTAAAGGAGGCTAATGTTGGGCTATAAAGGAACTACAGCTCGGTCACATGACTTCACGTCACCACCGCTAAGCTAAAGGTGGCTAATGTTGTGCTATAAAGGAACTACAGCTCGGTCACATGACTTCACGTCACCACCGCTAAGCTAAAGGAGGCTAATGTTGGGCTATAAAGGAACTACAGCACGGTCACATGACTTCACGTCACCACCGCTAAGCTAAAGGTGGCTAATGTTGTGCTATAAAGGAACTACAGCTCGGTCACATGACTTCATGTCACCACCGCTAAGCTAAAGGTGGCTAATGTTGTGCTATAAAGGAACTATAGCACGGTCACATGGCTTCACCTCACCACCGCTAAGCTAAAGGAGGCTAATGTTGGGCTATAAAGGAACTACAGCACGGTCACATGACTTCACGTCACCACCGCTAAGCTAAAGGTGGCTAATGTTGTGCTATAAAGGAACTACAGCTCGGTCACATGACTTCACGTCACCACCGCTAAGCTAAAGGAGGCTAATGTTGGGCTATAAAGGAACTACAGCACGGTCACATGACTTCACGTCACCACCGCTAAGCTAAAGGTGGCTAATGTTGGGCTATAAAGGAACTACAACACGGTCACATGACTTCACGTCACCACCGCTAAGCTAAAGGAGGCTAATATTGGGCTATGAAGGAACTACAGCACGGTCACATGACTTCAGCTCACCACCGCTAAGCTAAAGGAGGCTAATGTTGGGCTATAAAGGAACTACAGCACGGTGACATGACTTCACGTCACCACCGCTAAGCTAAAGGAGGCCAATGTTGGGCTATAAAGGAACTACAGCTCGGTCACATGACTTCACGTCACCACCGCTAAGCTAAAGGAGGCTAATGTTGGGCTATAAAGGAACTACAGCACGGTCACATGACTTCACGTCACCACCGCTAAGCTAAAGGAGGCTAACGTTGGGCTATAGAAGTAGAAGAGGACGTTTCTCACCGGCCAGGCCGTTGACTGCAGGTGTTTTCTCGTCCTCGTCCTCTTCCTCTGGAGCTGCGCTGTCCTTTCTGTCCATTTTACTGACAGACGTTGTGCGTTTCCTCTGAACTTCGGTGTCAAACTCCTCGTCGAACAGAACCTGGTCCACCAGGTCGGGCTGCACCGGGCTCGGCTCCGCGGGGGGCTTCGGGGTCCCGTAGTAGTTACCTGGAAATAAAAAGAGAGGAAGACAAAACGTAATCAGAATCCCTTCATTCGTCCCACAGAAGGGAAATGTATAAGATTCAAGGCTTTTATTGTCATTTGTACATAGCTACGGCGTATACATGTCAATGAGGTCCCAGGCTCCTCCTCCAACAGAGCAACACAATAAAACTGATAAAATAGTAAAAATAGTGCAAGTAACTACAAATAAAATAGGATAGAATGTGTTACAGCAGAAAAGAGCCAAGGACAGCTTAATGGTACCAAAGAAGCATGCATACAAAACATGTTCAAGATAACAAATTTAGAAAAAACACGTCCTGTAACAGTTCTGAGGATTTAGCAGCCAGGTATATATTGCACAGTTATTACGACATATATATATATTGCACATATTCACGTATTTGACAGCAAGGGGTGTTTATATAGTCTGACCGTGCAGGAAGGAAGGACCTGCGCTATCTCTCCGTGAGATAACGGTGAATATGTGGAACCCTAACCCTCATCATTCAAACCGACTATCCTAATTAGTCATTCAGGACAAAAACGTCCACTGCCAAAAACATTATATTAATAACAAATTCCACCACTTTTTTCCATTCAATCTTTAAAGCAACTTCAGTCCTAATCAAAAATACCAAATATATAACCTTTTTTCAGGATTTTAACCCTTTAAATGTCATATTGAAAACATGAAATAACTTGGTTTTCATGAGAAAAACAGAGAAAATGAGATATTTGATATATAATACATATATGGGGACTGGCTTTTTACACGTTTTGATCACAGTCTTGGATAGGTCATGAAAAACAACAGTCACCACATCCCTCCACCACTCTATTATGTTTCTCTCTGTTGTCCTTTTCAGTCTCATTTGAGCCACTTTGTGGACTATTTGAGTTTCTTACCGAGCGTTTTGTGTCTCTTTCTGGTCATTGTCAGTCCATTTCAAGTCATTGTGTGTCTCTTCGTAATCAGAGTCTCATTAAAGACACTTTAAAGGTGGGGGAGGTAAGAATGGAGAAACCAGCTCGAGTGCGCTAGAATTTGAAAGTAAAGTACACAACCGAAAACAATCTGCCCCTTCCTTCAGACTTCCTCACAGAGCCCCTCCTCCAACACACCAACGCGCACATGACCAATGAGGGCAGAGATCAGTGTGTGCACAGATAGCAACACGGCTTCAAAGCATTTCATGTATTCATTGCTATCGGGACGTTAAGAGCATTCCATGGAGTAGAACCCGTGTTCTGAGGGGAATTACCTCCCCCACCTTTAAGTCCCTTTTTGGTTGATTCGTCTGTTTGATCATTTTTCTCTTTGTAGTCCTTTTCAGTCTCATTTGATCCATTTGTGGACAATTTGAGTTTCTTCCAGAGCATTTTGAGTGTCTTTAAAGTCCCTGCAGAACGCCACATCCCTCCACCCCTCTATGACCACCTAAATACCCTGAACCCTTTCAAATGTACTCCTTCAGTTACCCTACAGCTGACGAACCCCTCACATGGAGGAAACCCTTTGCAGGACTTTTTCTCCCGTTTTGATCCTTGATGAAATGTTTTTCTCTTCGCTCTCCTCCTCGGGGAGTCAGGGAGTGCAGCGTTTACTCCGAGGTTAGTTTGTGCATCTCTCCACCCTTTAAGTCCATCTTCCTCTGCTGTCATGTTGGAGCCTCGGGCTGAACACAGCCTCACAGCGAGAGCTTCATCTCTCCTCCTCTTCCTCAGAGTTTTGACCCACTTTACCCTCTTTACTCTCCTCCTCCTCCTCCTCCTCCTCCTCCTCCTCCTCCTCCTCCTCCTCCTCCTCCTCCTCCTCCTCCTCCTCCTCCTCCTCCTCCTCCTCCTCCTCCTCCTCCTCCTCCTCCTCCAGGAGCAACAGAAACTCCAGAAAGGAGGTGAAGAGACGCTGAGGAGGTGTTTTCTTTTTTATTACTACCGGTTTTCATTCCATTTTTATGTAAATACCGTCTTTGTAGTCATTTAATGTCTTTTGAATCTTTTTGCACTCATTGGTATCTTGAGTCTGTCGTTTGAGTATTTGCAGTCAGTGTCTCTGTCAGGTGAAATAACAAGAACAGCTGTTCCTTCATCAGCTATAATTATGTACTTAATAAACAGCCCTCCCATCAAAACACCATTTCCCGCGCGTCATGCTCAATGCTCTGTAATTGATTACGGTAATTACATTAAGCCGTGTTCCAGTGAAGTGTTAATATCAGTAGCTTAAACCTTTAAGTCCTTCACTGGGTGTAATTGATAGGATGCCGGCTGGCAGAGGGTACACTGAGGGGGTTAAGTTACGAGGTGATTTGCTGCTGCTCTCAAACAGGGGCCACAATAAGGAAGTGAGACGGATGGTGAAGATGAACCTCACTAATGAGCCTCTGGAGGAAGAGTTGCTTCCTCCAGAGGCTGGAGACGGGCTATTACAATTCAAATCCCAGGTGGCTCCACATGTAGTTATTTAATCAAATGCAGTGTGTGTGTGTGTGTGTGTGTGTGTGTGTGTGTGTGTGTGTGTGTGTGTGTGTGTGTGTGTGTGTGTGCGTGCAACCCAGTCTCATGGCATTTCGTGTTCACCAACACGATTTCCCCCTTTTTTTGGTGTTTTTTTTATTTTAAAAGCAATGTATTTCTACTGCAATGTGTTTCGTGCCTGCAGCACGTCTTTCTCTCCGGTCGGGTCTTGGAAGACCGGAAGCTGTGCGGTTCATAAAAACATGTTCTTACTCAATATCAAGCCACAATTATTGCTTTTATTTTTAAATCGTATAATTTCTGACTTTTGTTTCCGTCTGTGTGAGGAAAAGAAATGGCTCAGAGCCTCAGAATACTGTCCGTCAGGAACTGAATTTCAAAATAAAAATAACCGGAAACAGACGTAGGCCTCTAGGAGTTTAGGATGGCCGAAGACACTACACTACCCATAATCCCCAGCTATCGTTTAGGACTACAGTCCCCGTGATAAATCTTCAAGCTCTGGGATTGGATGTTGGAGTGGCAGTGTGCTAAGGTTACGCCGAGCGTCAAACTGCTGTTTGAAATGGAACGAATCTGTTACGGTTGAGTGAAGGAAGCAGGACCCAAACGCATCACTAGGCCACCAGGGTGGGTGGAGGGGGTCAGGAGGACGGGATTTTGGGCTGACAGCCCAGGAGCACAGGGGAGGACCCGGAAGGGATCTCGTGCGGACGGCCCGGGGGAAAGGCAGAAGCCGAGAAGGGGGACTCGGGCGGACGGCCTGGGGGCAAGGCAGAGTCCAAGGTGGGGGTCTCGGGCGGACGGCCCGGGGGCAAGGCAGAGTCCATGGTGGGCCGAAGGCCACAGCGGGTGAACTCAGGGGGCCGAGCATGAGGGCGAAGGCAGCGGCAGGAAGAGTCAGGGGGCCGGGCCCGAGGCCGAGGACCGCGGCAGGAAGAGTCAGGGGGCCGGGCCCAAGGGCGAGGACCGCGGCAGGAAGAGTCAGGGGGCCGGGCCCGAGGGCGAAGACCGCGGCTCGCAGGGGGCCGGGCTCGCAGGGGGCCGGGCTCGAGGGCGAAGACCAGACAGCTCCGGGGGCCGAACAGGAACCGGAGCCGGTGGGACAGGCTTCGGCAGGATCCCCCACGGAAGAGGACCAGGAGTTGGCATATAATTCATATGTATAATATCAGTTAAAAGAAGTGCTTCAACATAGTTAACATTGCAGGAAAGCAATATATTAGACGTTAAGTACTTTGTCAGGCTTAATATTTATCTGTAGATAGATACCCCCAAAGTTTTTTTCTTATTTGAAAGAAGACCTTAATCTAAAGTATTCTTTAATGTGTTAATAAAGGTTAATTAGTTTGTCTGTTTTGCACATCCTCATATTAATATCTTTGTACATGCTGCACTAAACTGTTTTATTGTAGAGATCACTTATAGTATCTTCTTGATTTTTTATATTCTATATTTCTATCATTGACCTTCTACTTTCCCCCTATGAAAGTATGTACTCTTAATATGTTTTTCATCAAATAACATTATTCAACCAAAATAATTCAATAACGTGCTTTAACCACTAGGAGGTGCACACAAGGTACACACAGCACACTAATAATAACTTTGTATTATTAGTGTAGGACACTTATGTATGTATAACATCTGAAGATGTGTAGTTTTATTCATGCTTTCACATAATGTTACAGCATATTGCTATACTATTTCAGACTCAGTATTTACATTCTTACATTCAAAGAAAATCAGTAATATCTTTAAAAACTACAGTCCTTTTATATCAGCTGTGCACCGTTATGGTGTAAATATAACCTATCTGTGAATTAGATCAAATATAAAAGTCAGCCGAATTAGTGTTGATACTGCAAGGAGACGTATTGTGTGAAGAGAAATTGAAGATGTTGTTTAATTGTTGAATATATTTATGATCCACGTCAAGTATTCAGTTTCGGCGGCATTTTCTCAGTTTTTCCAAAGGTCTTCTCATCAGGGCTCTATAAATAAAGAACTACGGCAGATCTGTAATATACAATGCAGCCGAACCGTGTATTACAATGCCGTTATGTGATGACTTTCAAAGAGAAAAGCAAGAACACTCGGAATTAAGTATTATTTTATTCTTTTTAAATGTTTTCCGGATTTCATATCATATAAACACCAAATCCCAGCATGCATTGCGGCTAAAACATCCAATCAGCGAGCTTAAACCATAGCTGAGGATCTTGGGTAATCGCTCGAAATGCCTACGTCTGTTTCCGGTTATTTTATTTTGAAATTCAGTTCCTGACGGACGACAAAAAAGCCAGAGATTATGGAATTAAACCAATAAATAAAAGCAAGGATAATTGTGTGTTATTGGTGAGTAAATAACAGTGTGTTATTTTGAAAAGAATAACAAATTAGAAGGACATTTTTTTTTTAAAATACAGATTTCAGTATCCTGAGGCTCTGAGCCCCATTTATTTTCCTCACAGACGGCAACAAAAGTCCGAAATTATACGATTTCAAATAAAAGCAATAAC